GAAAAGGATTGTTTGAATATGAGACTGCAAGAAAGTTGATTACGGGTCCAATCTCCAGAATGGTGGTCGTCTCTATTTACAGATTCTACAAAAATATAGAATTTTTGACAGAGAACCAACTGTTCACCACGACAAAGTAGGGAACTACTGGACCAGAAACAACATTCAATAGATGTATAACTGCCTTTTCAGAACAGTGATGTTTGCAGTGAGATTTTGCAAACCATCTTTCTTAGATTTTCAGAGATTCTGCCAGAAAGTAAATAACTTTGACATTGCCCTGTAATGTTTAACAAATGCTTTCGTTCGAAACATTTCTTCTGGGATTGGTACCAGATGTAGATTGGAATGCAGAACAGCTTTTTCCACAGAGGAGGATATGTCAGTTTATACAAAACATCTGGAAAGTCTTTGTTTCCATGTTAATGAAAGTGCAGAGGAAGGATAACATGCATCAGCCATCAGAGTTCTGGAGTTAAGGCTTTAATAATGCAAAAATAAACACTATCTATTATTCTAAGGTGTTGAGTTATTTTGGAATTTGAATCAGACAAGCATCATTTCATATGTGGTGTCTGAGCCTGTGGCACATTTCCCATGTATAAGATAATGTGGCGGACTTAAATTAAAGGCAGAGTTCTGGATTTTGTTTTTTTAACAAAGATTCTCTGGGGCGATGCACGTGTGCAGGATCATCTTTGCAGCACAGATAATTGACCCAGAGGACAGCAATCACAAAGACTGTGCCATCAATGCTTTAATAATCTATTGTCAATTATCATGGCTTTGCCTGACACCGCAACCTCCCCCTTAAGGCCATGGTGGCATAGTGAAGGAATCAGAAAAAAGCAATTAAAAAGTCGACGGTTGTGAAACAGAAATCGCTTGGAGAAACATGCAGCAACTTTTTCGTATTCGTCTCCTAATATTCACACTGTGAGGATGAGAAGGCTTTGACTTCACTTGTGTGCATCACCCTTTTGCTCGGTCATGGAGGGGGGCTCTTAATGATGGGGTGGTTTTCAGTAGCCGTTTTCACATATGCACTCCTGAACATATCTAGTTAATTTCAGGAGGACTGCTCCGGATATTCTCCGGACCTGGTTAAAGAAAACACAATGCAGCCGTTTAATAACGAGCACAGAGATTGTAGTGGTCGCATGCAGACATTCTATGCACCGTGCAGCAGTCACTATATTAAAACGTCACTCCCTCTCCTATTGGCTCGAGGTGAATTCTCCAGAGAATATCCTGCGGTGTTCTCACATCAACTCACTCAGGAGAAACTCCGGGTGAAGTCCGAGTGAAAAATGTAACAACACAGGCAGCTCCTCCAGGACATATCAGGAGCTTTGAGAAAGCACTAACGGACTTCAAACTTGTAGGGCTGTAACATGGCTGATGGAACACCGGTCTAGATTTAACATGCTTTTAAGACGGTCCTGCTTTCCAGATGGGAAAATGTCATTTTTAACCAGATACGGTCTTTCCAAAAACTTCCCTGATACAGAAAGGAGACAGCTTGGATGCCAATGTTAGAGTCAGATAGGTGTTAATCTTTGAACTCCGGGTCATTAAAACAGGAAGGATGACAGTCAGCTTACATGGTAACTTCTGGGTAAAGCATGTTACACAAGACCTGCTGAGGATCCAAAGAAACGTTATTACAACACTTTCCCACTGCTACTGGTGTGGAGAGTTTAATCCCACAGTTACAAAATGTCTATCTAGGCCAGTCCAGCACAGAGACTGTCTTCAGAGGCATTATCTCTGTGAGATTAACCCCTTGATGGCCAGCTTAGGCAAAAGAGTTCAAAGGCAAAGGGGTGGCTAGATCTTTGCATCTGAGGCTGACCGAGAGGAAAACAAGCTTCCACTGAACAACTGTTTTGTAAGACAGAAAATAAGCCGGTGGAAATTGATTTAGAATCACTGCTGGGCAGCTCCCTACAGGCACCAACCGTTGGTGGAGATACAGTATAAGTCAATATTCAGTTTATGTTTACTACCGATGGAGTCTGGATGAAAATAAGATTGTATGAACATTACATTGTGTCACAACATGCTGGGAATAATTGGCTATAGTGTGTGTGTGTGTGTGTGTGTGTGTGTGTGTGTGTGTGTGTGTGTGTGTGTGTGCGTGAGCCTGTCACAGCAAAGAATTGAGTATTATTTGAAAGAATCATATAACAACTTTATAATTCATTCATTCGGATAGATCACTTTGACCTGGCTGCAATCGCCTCATGTTTGACTCTTTGAAAATGAAGCAATCCTTTCATTCTCTTTGTGGCTGACATCTAAGGCTGCGCTCTCTCTTACGTCTTCTACGTAATCGCAAATTTCATCTTTGTCGAGGCACGAACAGTGAACGCCAAAAGTCTGAATTTATAACAAGAAATTAGAAGATGTATTTCTTGTTAACGACATAACCTGTTAACAAACATGGACGAAGCCTGAGTGAAGTCACCCATTGGTTACCGAAGAGGGCTTTGGAAGCCCGCGGTCGAGATGCTTGAGATGCTGTCTCAACCTCCGAGCCAGAGCTGAGGCGGGTCTTAAACCTCTTAACAAACTGTTACACGGCGCCCGCCTGTCAGTCTGGTGGGCCACGCCCCTAATTAGACATAACCTGTATCCTTCATAAAATCAAAACGGATGAGTTTTGCTGTAAAAATGGACATCTTTAAACATGGTGCAATACAGTCACAATATCATTAATTTTCCTGGATTCATAGGGTTAAATATTCCAACAACATAAGCTTACATAAATGTCTCCAACAGTGGCTTCATCATTTAGCGTCAACAGAGTTGCAAATCTGAATGTTTGAAGCACGAATGAACAGAAAACACTTGTTTATTCAACAGGACACATTTCAGGGCCGCTCTGGTAAAAATACATTTCCTTTCTCGTTTCAGCAGCGAGGCCGACTGCTGTGTGTTCTGTCACAGCGGTGGTTTCAGCCACATACTGTTCCTCCACTCCAGCGTCCCTCCTCTTGTGCCATGAATGTCACGACTGCAGCCACAGGCTCCACTAAAGGAGCGCCAGCCTTATTACGCCCCCAGGTCACCAATATCCCCCCCAGCCTTCACAAAGACCCAGCTTATGGAATCAGATACACTGTGTAGCTCGACAAATTACTAGCCGACGGCCTCCAACCCCTGCTCAAAGTTCTCGCATTTGAGCCCTTGTGTTTTCCACCCCTTCCCCCTCCTTCTGTATCCAATTTGTCAGGTGGAAACTGGGTGTGAAAAATGGTTGTGTTTTCCAGGGAGCCACGGGGGTCCGGGTTGCAGTTTATCGCTGCATGATGGACAATAAATAAGACTGATCACTCATGCCAACAAGATACATCGCAAACATCAAACTGATTACAACACTCGGTGAGTTATTATTACAGATAATTATTGTGGAATCATTTATCTGACATAACGGAAAAAATGGTGAACTTCGGGATGCGAGTGTGTTCTTGGACAGGGAGCTCTTATCTCACTGTGGCTGGGTGCAAAGCCTGCCATGATCTTTACACCTGAATATAGACACAGTCAATTGGATTTGTAAGGTGAAGCAAACAGCCGTGACCCTTGGAGAGTTCAACAGTCCCGGTGCCAAGTGACGAGTTTGATGAGCAGGTACCTGAGTGGACCACACCTGGTTCCAAGACGGGATCCAGTAAAGGGATTTAGTCTGTTTGCATGTGTGTGGGATTTGAGCATGTGTGTGATCTCGTGAGGAAGTTTGGTTGTGTGTGTGTGTGTGTGTGTGTCTCCTTATGGGCTTCCTGACAGCATGTGTGTAAGGTCAAACCCATAATTGCATCCCACATTCCCACACTCATTAGGCGAGATCAGGTGCTGGGATTGTAAATACAGGATGGAAGTATAGGGAAAGGACAGGAAAAGAGTGAGGGGAGAGAGGGAGGGAAAAAAATCGATGCAATTGAGTGTTCTGTGCGCAGCCTGTTATGCCCCCTGACTTCCCTGCAGAACATTTTGAGGAGGTGGGAGGAAGGAGGAGGGGAAGAGGAAATAGGGGAGAGGTGAAGCGCCTTGTTTACAATAACAAGTCCATCTAAATCCCTTTGCATTTAAAGCCTGCCACCGGACACATGGCTGTGATCACGTGGCATCCGCCCAGCAGCAGTATCGCAATACCACTGAGTTGACAGCTTGCATTGTCTAGGAGGTGATTAAGTGGGATGCGGGGCTGTTGTGGACACAGAAACTGACTCTGTATCAGACACAGCTCTGCGTTCATGCGGCTGCAAACAGGACTGAACAGCTGCGGACTTTGAATAAATCAACGCGTTTTGCAAACCGATGGTTCTTCACTGTAACTCATACAATGTAAACAAGACAGCACAGTTCTCTGACTCCTCGCATCCTCCTCCTCCTCCTCTCTTGAGACTAGAATCCCCGTTATTCCCACACAAACTGCATCTCCGGACTTCGTGACGCATTTCGCCGTTTCAGGACGAAGAGGTTTTTTGAATTAAGTGGAAACAGGAGCCTCGGTCACCAGCTTCAGTGTTCTGTTCGTGTTTACAGCGGAGACTTTGAAGTATTGTGCTCCAGCCATGAAGGAAGAAGGATGACACATCACTGCAAAACTGCGCGTAATTCCAAGCACGGATGGGGCATTAAGGGATCACTGTGCATTATGAAGTCAGTACAACAAGCCGAGTCTGACAATGATACTAAATAAAACATGTAAAGAACGGGGTTTCTTTTCGGGCTGATAGGGATAAAGTTGTCAACTCTAATCCAAACACTTCTCCTCTTTCATTACCTTACTGTCAGTTGTGGTAAATATATTTCATTAGCAGTGAACTCGAGACATACTTGGTAGTGAGGAACATAATATATCTTCTCTATAAAGTGAACACTGTCCGTTACAATGACCACATCCTGCACGGAGAGCATGCAGCTGTTCGCTGGCGCGGAGGATACTGCCTCGCATCCGCGCCAGGAGAGGAAAGTTGCAACCGGACTCTTACCTTATAATCGCCGTGTCGCCCTGGCGGATTGTGATGTTGTCGGTCGCCCGCTGCATATCCACACTCCGGACGGGGAATCCTGTGGGGATAAGACACAGCAGTCTGAAAAAAGAAGCCTGCAGTTGCCTCCAACACGATTTGCGTCCGGCTTGCATTTTAAAGCACAACAGGAGCGCGCTTTTTCGGCAGCTATAATTCCAAGGGATAAAAAGCGCGTAGTGAAGAGTAGTTGTCCAGACTTGTCGAAAACACTGGATGAGTTTAGGTCCGGAGCAGTCCCGAAAGGTAGGGATTTCCTAAAATACTTTTGCGTATGGAATCCTCGCTCTATAATCCACTGGTGCGTAATACTATCCGCGTAAAGGGACGGCACAGCCAGAAGCGGGGATGGAGAGAGGCAGGGTTCTGTTCAGAGTCTGGGAAAATCACCCCCCACCATCTCTCTCTCTCTCTCCCTGTCTCTCTCTCTCTCTCTCTCTCTCTCTCTGCCTCTCTCGCTCGCTCTCAGATAATCCAGCCGTCTGGCTGTGATGCTCCCCTTATTGGTTGTCAGGACAACAGCACCACCTGAGGTCCCTTTCAGTGAGACACAGCTGAGTAAGAACTGAAGAATAGGTAGCGAAAGATGTAGAAAAAAATCGTGGGAAGTGGCTTTGGGGGGGGGGGGGGGGGGGGGGTTTAATGCCAGCCAACCTGCACCCTGACAGAAGCACAGGTGATAATCTATTCACAGCTATGTGCTCTCATACCTCTCTGGAGGTGAAGCCAAGCAGAAAGTCACCTTTTCAGCTCACTACAGTATCTAGCTATCATTAGTCCTCAAAGAAATCATAAGCACACAAGTGTCCTCTTTTCTGAGGCAGTGGTTCCAAAGCATTTTACCGAGGAGACTTGAATTGGACCTGTAATCTTCCAGTGGATAAAACTCACTCATAAAACTCACTCTGGTTAAAGCTCGTGAAGAATTTTCAGATGTGTCCTAAAAGTGACAAAGTGTTTTATCTTATCTCTTTGCCAGTCTTATTTTTCTTATTTTCTTATTAAATCTCATCCTGCTGTCTTTAAATAGTCAAATGTAGCACCCGTCAATATTTTCCGTGTAAATTGTAAAATAAAAAAAGAACAAAAAGCTAAGGTATATGTTAATGTCCAGTTGTCTTTTAAAACAGAACCAGATATCCTCTGTTGCTGTCTGCTGTACAGGGATTCTGGGTTTAGCTTTGACTCTCTAATCAGCCTACACTGGACCATGTCACAGTAAGATCTAGACAGTTTCCCTCCTGCTGTTCCTTTAGCATGCTGTAAATTGTCCCATCCCGGACACCTCCCCTGCAAGCGGTTACAGACATTAAAATGTACAATATAGAAATAGTTAGCCTCGTTGCTGCTTGTCTTGTTTGCATTTCTAGGTCATACGGTACACAGGCATCAGTATTCATTTCAGTCTTTTCGGTGTTCAGATAACAACTCCTCACAGGGGTTTTAATTACGATTCACTGTGATGCATTTAGAAACCCTCAGTGTGCTGTGAGCCTGCAGGGAAACTTGTCTTGTAAAAAAAAAAATTTCATGTACCTTTTCAACATTTTTGAAGAAGCCTGAAGAGAAAGGAGGCTAAATTTGTACGATGATCAAATTGTTATAATAACCATCAATGACTCTGGATAATAAGACGTCCCAGTAAATATGCACATTCAAATATTCGACTCCATTCAAGTTTGTTTATGTGGTAATCATGTGATCATGTGAAAAAACTGATTCAAAAGCATAAACGCTGTTGACCATGAACATGGCGAGCAGTGAGTGAATAGCTGAAGCAGACTTAATTAAGCCATGTCTAGACTAACTCAAGGCCGTAGCTCTGTACATCACATCCACTTTCAACTCAAGCATGGACTCCAGTTTTGAAAATGTGTACCTTTCAATTCTACAGTGAAGTGAACACAGAATGAGCTTCTTATTTCTCGTCCAGCCAATCAGGCGCTGCCTTGATGGGTCATGATCTGATGCTCATTCGGTGATGTGCTTAATGATCTGCAGAGTAACAATTTAGTGCAGTGCATCTAGCACTCTACCAGAATCAAAAAAGCCATTAATATTAATGTGGATATTTGTCATTCACTGCACAGCGCGTCTGTTGTTTGGTGTTTAGTTAATTATTCAGATTGAGATAACACCTTTAAACTAAGAATTCAAAATGTTCTCATGGAGACAAGGAAGTGGCGGGCTAAGCAGCCACATATGATGTGAATGCAGAATGATCATACATGATGAGAATGTTGCATGATCCTGAAGATCACTCCTGCTTACCTCCAGAGATAATTCAATTGTTCTGGTGCACATACAATGCAGAGTATTCCCGCTCTAAACCTCAGCAGCCTGACTGAACCAGTGCGAGGCTCCGTGGTTAAGCCCTATTCCCAGCATCAGCAGATTCTAAGCACCAGATCAGACGTAAACCCCAGTTTTACAGACGCCCCCTTCAACAGCATGCTGTAGCTGTGACATGTAAGCCTTACGGCTAGATTAGAGGAAACGGAGGCGCACATGTACGCAAGACTGAGAGGGAATTACGCAGAGGTAATTGATATATCGAAGCGTGAATAGAGGTGCTAATGTTAGTGTGTAGTTAAGGAGCACTAAAATGTTTTCAGCGAGGGATGCTTGCAGAGCTGCTCCCTTCTTGGCCCTTAATAATCAGTGCCATTTCCTCAAAGCTTTGGAGGTTTTAGCTATCATGGAGATTGCACAGTTTATGAAAGAGCATATGCATTAAGACCACTTAAAAAGGGACTACTGGAGAGAGAGGGAGCGCTCCTTTGCATACAAATTTGCACAGGAATGACTCCCGTGTGGCTTTTAGATGTATTTTTAGTTCAAAATTCTCAAAAAGTCTGCCAGGGGTCTGAGGGATGGTGTGTGTATGTGTGTCACATGCACGGGGTTGTGTGTGTGTGTGTGTGTGTGTGTGTGTGTGTGTAATAAGTGGAAATCTCCCTTCAGAGAGATAGAGGAGGGGAGGTCATGAGCGCAGCAGCTTTAACCAGTTCTTAACAAAAGGCCAGTGATCCCTCACTCTGCCACACGCTGGAAACCACACACAAATACACACACACACACACACACACACACACACACACACACACACACACACACACACACACACACACACACACACACACACACACACACACACACACACACACACACACACACACACACTGGAAGACAGAGGGGTTATTATCATGCTGGTGGGAGGCTCTCAGTTAGCAGGTGGCATTTGGACAGCAGAACCGTCCATACATTCTGCTGCAGTGTACACAATAGACATGGGACATATTTCCTTCATTATTGTATATTGTTTATTAGGATCACAGACCGCACATTTACCTCCCTAAACAATCTTCTTTTTCTCTAATTCAGAAATGTTGCTCAATTCTGTATTTATGCATAATACAGGAGAATACACATGCAACCTGTATTTGCATTTACAGTAAATACTGCAGTAGTATACCACAGTGCCATAGATAATCTTCAAGGACAACATTCAAGGAGCTGTGATGATGAACACTTTTTTATTTCTAGAATTTATTTCATGTTGATTTGTATAGGGACACGTGAAGCAAGTAAACTGCTGCCCCACACTAAAGCATTTATAGCCTAAGCTATTTGAAAAGCCCTTAAAAACTCTTAAAACTCAACATTAGATACACATTAAAAAAAAACAAAAAAAACATGCAGAACAAAAAATATAGAACAACACAGGATACAAACTATCCTACAATAAAACGAGAAGAACAAGATCGTGCATGACGACAAGGCTGAGTGGTCTCTAAAAAATGTTTCAGTTTGAAATTAAACTTAGTTAAACTTAGTCTGGATCCAGTTTGTGTTTTAAAATGAACCCAGTCTGGATCCGGTTTAAGCTCTGCAGAAAATAAATGATCTATACGACCCGTTCTGCAGATAATGAAGAAACAACAGTGTTTAAAAGGGTATAAACGTCTTAGAGGGGGGCAGCAGTGCATTATTTAACATTCAGCTGTGGACGGTTGGAAGTTAAAACGTTGATAGGAAGGAATGCCCCAGGAAGTGGTTTTATTGAAGCACACCAGAGACCAATTTAATGTAACTAGAAATCATGTCCCTGCTCCTTCACACGTTACAACAGGGCGATCACACCGCATCATAAATTAAGCCGACACTGGTTGCCACAGAGGCTGAATTCAAAGAAGCAAATGTTCCTGATTTCTGCCATACAGTGTCGATCTGCCACAGTCATTATGAGTAACGAGATGGGGGCAAAGTCAGGTCACCTTTTATTGTGTAATAATCAAATCGCTCTATCGTGCCTGCCCTCTTATACGGAAGAAATGACACAAAGCCAAGTCATGCATAGCTGACCTGACTGATCAAAGAGAGAGAAAGATGTAGGACTCTGAAGCAGAGAGAGAAAATAAACTCTTAACATATGCAAAAGTGAAAATAAGGTAACCAGATGAAGGACTCGTCTCTGGGATAAAAGGTCAAGTCACACTTTTCTATATAGCGCTTTATTTGAGATTGAAAAGCAGGAAATTAAATGGAACTGTCATCATCACTGCAACCAGCTTTTGAGTAAATGTTTTCCAGACGGTGGGGGTCAGTTTCATGTGTTCATGGGTTAAATCAACCCCCAGTGTTGAGGTTGATGTGGGAGTGCAACATCCCCGCCTAGATCTCGTTATTTACTGTTTCTCTTTTAGTTTGTCTATCATGCAGACACTTCTTGGAGGTACCCTTAAATTTAAGTTTCCATAGGGAAAAAAAAATCTGTATTTTAATATTTAAGGTCACATATTCTCCTAGTCATATTCTCATAGTCTCTATGCTCTCCAAAACATGTGTGTGAAGTTTATTGTTCTAAATCCACTCTGATCCTGTATTTGATCATGTCTATAAACCCCTCTATTTCAGCCCTGCTCAGAACAGGCTGTTTCTGTGTCTGTAGCTTTAAATGTAAATGAGTTGTGTCTGACCACGCCCCCTCTCTGGAAGGGCTTGGGTGTACTCGGGCTTTCTCGCTCCATGTCCTATTGT